TGGGCTTTTTTTCTGATTCTGGATAGTTTAAGACAGAAAGGGAAACCTCATCCTGTATGCAGTGCCTAATAGTATGCAAGACTTAATCTGTTTAAGTATATTATAAATTTAAATACCTTTATTTTAAAGGAGTGTGCAAAAAGAATTGCCAAGGTGTCAGCAGAAGCAAAACTGGAAATTGATGAAGAAAATTACTTGAATTCTTTCAGACCTCACCTCATGGATGTTGTCCATACATGGGCAAATGGTGCTAACTTTGCTCACATCTGCAAAATGACTGATGTCTTTGAAGGTATGTTAATCAGTTCTTCTTTAGGAGGTGTGAGATGGTAATTCCGTATCACGGAATGGTAATTCTGAATAACAGTATAAAAACTAGTAAAATTTATTAACCCAGGTGTATTCAAGTCTCTGCATGGCTGAAATGAAGTTGGAAAAAAATGGTTTACTATATAAGTTAATTTCTAACCTATATAGAAGTCTTAATAGAATTCTCTATCTTATAATTCTGTATCTATATCTAATTCTGTATCTATATATTAAGAATCTATAGAAGACTTTGTAAAGCCATATCTCTAAATTTTAAAAACTTTCCAGAAATGAAATCCTATTTATTACAACAAAAGGTAACTTTCTTTTGCTAGTTAAAGAGGAAAACATCACATTCCCAATACTTGACACCAAGATGTACAGTTCTTGTGCTAGTCCTTGTTACAGTTAATTATTTACTTGGTAAATTGAAGGGTCCTCCTGCTGTCTTAGTGATGACAGAAGTGAGAGGTGGTAACCACATCTCTGTTCCGGACGGTTCATCACAGCAGTGCAGTGCCGATTCTTGGAAAGCATAGATGTAACCTGCCACCTGGGTCAGTATGGTTCCTAAAACTGGAGAACTAGAAACTGCAGCTTGAGGAAGGCATTTGGTTTTCATCATTTAAAAAGCAGGATGACTTAAAGCCCAGAAATATCTGTAAAAACTGAAGGTCACCAGAATGGAAACCTGATTTCATCTTTTATGAGCAAAGTTGTGAAGAACAGTAGGATGGGTGCACCAGTCTTATAATGCTGTATGCAATTGCTGATCTGTGAACATTCTTCTTGAAGTTGTTCCTGTCATCGTTGTCTTGCCTCTTCCAAATGCTTTTTAATTTTTTGTATGTTGCAAATGGGAGCCCTTAAAACAGAGGAAGTCATGTAGTTCTGTAACCCAGTGCACAGAACTTTCTAAAGTAGGTTGCCTGCAAGCAATAGGTATCCTGGCAGTCTTTGATTCTGCATTCAGCAGATTCCTCCTCATATCTGAGCAGATGGGTGAGCCTTATATCTGCTTTTGAGTCACCTGAGGCTGGGGAGCACAGAGGGAGAAGCAGTAGCTGGCTTACATTTTCACATTGGCACTTGACTGTTCACAATACACTGGGCAGTAGTGTTTTTTATTCATTGTATTTGGGCTAAGGTCAGCCAGTTAGCTAGCTCCCTCAAAATCGGATCTTACAGACCTATTTTGAGAGGTTCAGCTCTTGTGACAGGGGTTGACATGTTTCTTCGCTTAACTTCGCTGGCTTTCTGTGCATTGTCCAAAAAGAGGGTGTCCTGGGTTTGGCAGTGGCAGTCAGTTTTTCTCCTTCTTGGTGGCTGGTGCAGCGCTGTGTTTTGACTTTCAGCCTGGGAACACTGCTGATAATACCGATGTTTTCAGTTGTTTCTAAGTGGTGTTTACCCTGACCAAGCCCTTCAGCTGTCCACTGCCAGTTATGCTTACCTTAAATGCAGAGTGGTGTTGCTAAATCCTAGGGGAGTTTGTCCCATTAGCCAAGTTGCTACAGTGATAAAAATAACCCGAACAACAGAACACAAAACGCCACAGCATCCTTGTTTTGATCTGATCTGAAGTACAAATGTTCATGTTAGGTATTAGTGTTTCCTTTTGTGATTTTGATGGAGGTTGTTGATGGCTGATTAGAGCTCTAAAATGAGGTCATTCTTCCACTGACTTCTGGGCAGTGTGGAATTAGCAGTAATGAACTGCTGTTATTACAGGGAGGCCCAGTCTCACTGTAAGGAGGCAAAATTGACTATGCCCTTCACATGACACTGATGTTCAGTTGTGTGATCCATCCAGGCTAAGGTGCACCAGCAGAACTTTCCTAAACAGAAACCTTGAGTCAGTGGCGTGCTTTCACTATTACAGCCTAAAGATGGATGGTGTTCTGCTGTTTCATTAGTACTGATGGTCAAGTGTCTGAAGCCCCTGGTGCAGTTATGAGTGTGAAAACTTGTAGCTGCCTTTTGAGGTTGCAGCAATAAGCCTGAGTGCTCGAAGAGCAAACATGCTTGCCACAAATTGGAGCAGTGTTGACTGACTAATGAAAATAAGTTGTCATGAAGCTGAAATGTGTATTGGGAAAAAATAGAAATGAGAGCTTTTTAAAGCTGTAGGGAAGAATGGTAAGCTGATCAAAGTATCCTAATAACCAATTGCAGATCAGCCATTTTGCTTTGCAGAAGTAAGTATACACAACAGTAATTTATTCCAAAAATGCAGGGGTTTTTTATGCACCAAAAAAGTATGTCTGCAACACCCCCAGCTATGCTGCCTGTAAATGAGACTCTGTGGAATAGTTGGCAGGGGTGGCCTTGAAACTGAGATATGTAGGATCTTGGAGAGCTGAGCTGGAGCCAGCCATAACACAGCGTGGCCACACTTTGGGGAGCTGCCTGCAGTTCACTGTGGTTTTGTGCTTTGTGTCCAGTTGACAATCAGTGGGGTTCTTCACGTAATGTCATTGCAGTAGGTTTTACAGACAGCTGTCCTCACACAGACTGTTCTTTCTTTAGAAACTGACATGGCCTACTGGTACCATATGAATGTGTTTTAGAAGAGAAGGGGTATTTTTCTTCTCACTTTCCCAGCAGCTTTGTAGAATGTTTTCATATGGACAGTTCTTTTCCAGGTACTATGCCTTGTCTACAGATGATCTTTCTGTGGTTCAATGTAATACTATCTAGTCCAGTATTCCTGCAGTGAGCAGGGACATCTTCAAGTAGATTTGGTTGCTCAGAGTCCCATCCAACCTGTGACCTTAAAAGTTTCCAGGGATGGGGCATCTACCACCTCTCTGGACAACCAGTGTTTCACAACCCTCATCCTAAAAGATTTCTTCCTTACATCTAGTCTGAATTTGTCCACTTTACTTGTCCCTTTGCTACAGGCCTTACTAAAAAGTCTGTCCCCATCTTTCTCGTGAGTCCTCTTTAAGTATTGAAAGACCACATAAGATGTCCCTGGAGCCTTCTTCAGGCTGAACAAGCCCAGCTCTCTTAGCCTCTCTCCATACGAGAGGTGCTCCAGCTCTCTGATCATTTCTCTGGCCCTCCAACTCACTCCAGCACGTCTGTGTCCTTGTGTTGGAGGCCCCAGAGGTGGACACAGTGCTGCAGGTGGGGTGTCATGAAAGTGGAGAAATGGGGCAAAACCCCGTCCCTCAAACCACTGGCCATGGTCCTTTGGATGCAGCCCAGGACGCAGTTGGCTTTCTGGGCTGCCAGGCACATTGCTGTGTCAGGTCCAGCTTTTCACCCGCCAATACCCACCAGTCCTCTCCAGGGCTGCTGTCAATAACTGCATCCCATACTTACCCTATGATAGTTATTTTGCTTACAGCAATTTTGATTCTAGGTGCAAGATGGTGTTGGAGAAAATAACCGAACAGCACGCAGTTTGCATGCCACTGGAAGAGCATAATGGTTATAGGGTCATTTTGTGAAACTTGTTAACAGGGACTTGGGCTGAGCTCAGAAGTTAAAACAGGAGGTGAATGTGTAACAAACTATTGTGGGTATTAGGTTGCAGTGTGAGCTTTTAATGCATTAACTGTAAGCATGCAATTGAGTAGTATAGAGTGGTCCATAGACTCCCAAGTGGCACAGGAGTAGTGCCACACACCAAAGGCTATCAAAAAAATTACAAAAGATAAATCTGTGTTCTTGAAGCAGCAAACTTATGAATCCCCCAAACATGTATGTTTTTTCAGGAAGGTCTAAATAAAAGAACTTGTTAAGTTTCAAGTACTTGAAAGAAAATAGGAATTACTGAACAGCCCATGAAGTCCTCTGATTAAATTAGTTAGGGGCTGTGAAGGCAGTAGAAGGTAACAGGACGAGCATTTGGAGACAGCTTCAAGGAAATGCCTGATGGAGAATTCCACTGTTAAAGAGAAACCAAGTTTAAGACATGCAGTTTTTCTTATCCTTGGCTTCTAGATAAATTGAACAGGGTTGGAGAAGATATGAATACTTTAATCCAAAGTGAGCTTAAGCAACTGAATTACTCAGTGACATGATGTAGCAGGAGGTACATAGTTTTCTCCTACACCTTTTATACAGGCAGCATAATTCGATGCATGAGGAGGTTGGAAGAATTGCTTCGGCAGATGTGCCAAGCTGCAAAAGCCATCGGAAACACAGAGCTGGAAAACAAGTTTGCAGAGGGTATGTATTTCACTTCCACAGTACAAGAAGTAACTCTAGAAAAGGAAAGTTGGGGAGGGCAGGTAGGACACAGAATGGGGGTGAAGGATTTGGTAACATAAACTTCTGCTGTTGACTGCACGGTGAACAAATCATTGCTCTCTTTCCAGAGGAAAGAGCAAACTTTTATCAAAAAGCATCTGTCTTACAAGTTTGACTTTAAAAGGTGGTGGTTTTGGTGCATTCTGACAGTTTAACAGAGTTTGTGACTGAATATGGATGTACTGTTACTTTCGTTTAAGACTCATATCACTTTGTTTACTGTAAGGTGTTACATGCATGTGCCTGTATTTAAATAGTGATTGTGTCAGTTATGAGTGTTGGATATTAATGTGTTTTCCTTTTTAATAGGGATTACAAAAATCAAGAGGGATATTGTCTTTGCTGCAAGCCTTTACCTGTAACAGGTTGTCTTCCAGAAGCAGCACAAGAGCCACCTTACGGGGAAATTTAATCACACGATACTTCCATTTCCAATAATTTTTTTTAATGGAGCGTATTTTAACCACAGTTATTTTAATAAGGCATGTACAAACAGTTTATGTAATATAACTGTTACCATGTTTTCAATAAAAATTTACAGTTTGAATAACTTTTTTCTTTTAAGCAAGGGCTTGCACCAACAGATATTTAAAGTTTAGATATACAATAACTGTGGTTATTGTAACTCTGGTAGATGTTATTATATACAGGTAAAGTGAGCATCCAAGAGCAGCAGCAGTCCCTTAAAGGCATTACTTCCATTACAGATTTAGACTTGTGAAATTGTTTTCCTTTCAGAGAGCAAGACAAGTGAGTCATGCTTTATGGTTGATGATTGCTGCCAAAGTGATTTCCATTTGTTGGAGTCTCATGTAGGGTTGTATGGGAATCTTCCTTCGGCTGAAATGTACATCCTCTCACTTTGAAGAAGTCAGACACGTACACAACCTAAGTGAAAAAATTAGTGTTAAGATCTTGTAAGTCTTTGAGACAACAGGTAAATGCTTTTGCAGAAGGTGAACTCCATTATCAAAACTTTATTTATCAAAGTTTAACCAGGTTGAAACATTAGAAAGTTGCTAAGAAAGTCATGTATAAAATTCCGTCATCTGTTCTTTCAATAGCTTTTTCTCCAGCTATTGCTCCCGCTCTGATGGATTGCTTCGCTACTGATGGTTTAAGCCAAATTTAAGGTTATGTGGTAACTGCTCTAATGGCCTTGTTGGGAACTGCTTCATCACAATAGCTATAGTTTTAACTCCTTCCTTTAAATGAAGGAGCAAAATATGCTTGCTGAGGGCCTACACCACATGTACGGTTAAATTTACTCTGTAAGCTATTTAGAATAGGACATGAGAGTGTGTACTTTGGCTGAGGAAGACACGTCAGTAGTTAGTAACTATCTGCAGTGTGACCCTCCCTTACATTTATTCTTGCTGGCTAAACCAACCTTGGATTCCTCTCCTTGGCAAGGTTCACAACAGCAGCTCCTTCCCCAGTTCAAGTGTCTTATAGCCCCAGCAGCTGTAAGGCTAACTACTTACTTTATCCTTCCTTGCATTTCTTTGACCATGCCACCTCACTTTCTTCAGTTACCAACTACAAGACACATCCTTTGATCCAGTTCTGCAGTTTGTTTTCTTCCCTTTGCCCACTTCAAGTCATACTAGTAGGCATGCTGAGTACAGTGCTGCATGTAGTAATTAAGAAGCTTTCTCTCATGATCCCTTCCTACATCACCTCCTCCCATCCCACTGCAAACCTGAGAACTTCAGAACACAATTTATAGCAGCAGAAGAAACCGTACTCCGTGCTGCAGGCTGGCTGGTGCCCCAGCAGGCTGCTTTAGCTGCATACCAGATGAGTTTCAGTTTCCACTCAATGCTAAATTCACTCAATTTAGTGCTCCATTTGCAGTTGCTGCCCCAGCATGCTCTCACCTCAGCTGTTTCTGGACTCTTCTCTTTACAAATAATTTCCTCACCTTTCAACTCTGTAGTGCCACCTTCTACTCATGCTTGTATTGCCAAGTGTCTCTAAGATAGATACCCTCCTCGCAATCATCCAGCAGCCCCCACTAAACTTGTTGTCCTAATAAAAAATAAAAATTCCCTCAGCTTCTCAGTCCCTGATGCTTCTCATTCCCTGCACCCCTTTTCTTAGAGACTGAGGTTGTACAACAGTAAGGGGTAGAATTATGTTTTAGTCAACATGCAGCCATTTAACAGCAGTTAATGCAGTATGCAGAGCTTCCCAGAGCAGCTCCAAGGCTTGTTTTGATGATTGATTGCCACAAGTAAACAAAGCTTTATCTTGGAATGACTTCCGACTACCAGCTGAGAGAACATTTGTTTATCTTGGACTTGGTCCTTGCCGGTGAGTCTCAGTTCTAGGTAATGGAATTCCTCAATATGACCTCAGTTAGCTCATGTCTCTGATCTGTTTCTTCCCATGACCGAATGCACCATGGGATTGTGATGATGGCCAGCACAAGTGCTGCCACTAAGTCAGCCAGGCCTGCAGCTCCAAGTTTAGCTGATCTTCTTTTCAGATGGATAACTCTTCACACATCAGAACAGCTCAGCTTCACATGCCTTGTGAACACACTTTTAGCACTCAAAATGCACACAAGGCATGCTGAAGAGTTTTTGTTTCCCATCAGACTGAAAAAACAGGCTGTTTAAGCTGGCAGAGATTGATATTTTCATGCTGTCCTTATCCTTAAAGGCTTTGGGTTTTGCCCCTCTTACCTCATACACAGTTCTCCTCTGCTGTTGTGCTTGAGATGTAGAATTTGGCTAGAAGCAGAAGGTAGGGTTATTTAGAGGCCCACATGGTTTTGCAGTTGATCATTTCCAACTTGGTTGTTTGAAAAGCTCTGGGGCAGGGACAATTTCATGTTGTCCAGCAGCTAAAAAAGCCACTTATAATTGGTGCAGTCTCTACCCCACTCACTAAAGTACTATTGCTACACCCAGTTCAAGGAGTTACTTTGAAAGCTGCTGGAGAGGTGAAGCATTAGGAAGAGAGGCCTGCTTTCCTCTGAACACAGCCTGCAGTTCTAAGGTGCTGCTTATAAAAGCAGCATTCACACACACACGCACCCCCCTCTCCCTTCAGGAATTACTTACAATGAGCACAGCTACCACAGCTCCCTGAATGAGTCCTGTTAAAACATCACTCCAGTGATGCTTGTAATCAGATACACGTGACAGACCCACATAGATGGATGAAGCAATAAGACCAAATTGTATGGTAGGACGTAAAAGTCTTGCCCAGTCTCCTTTCATTCTGGCCTGAAGATAAATCTAAAAGAGAAAGAAAAATAGTTCAAAAATGCAGCAAATGCAGAAGCAGTAATTGTGTAAAATTGTGCAGGGTCTGTTCAAAGAGCTGAAATTTGTGTTCAGAGACATCATGATGTCCACAGATATTCAAAGACCTCTACTCTCGTAACTATGTTATGGCAGAGTTTGATGATAGTCTTTATGGTTTTATAAAAAACTATGTGACACCATCATATAGGTGCTTATAGGTACTTGCTGTATTTGTACCAAGGTGACAGTTTTCAGGATAAAGGTACTAGTAATACCAGAGATACTTACAGCTTAGAAAGAATGCAGTGTTTTACTGCTGAATTAACTACAGGTAAGTCTTACTAAAACCGAACAGCAACTATCCAAATTTACAGTCCTTCAAATATAGGGAGCCCCATCTTGCTCTGAGCAGGGATATCATTAACATCTTTGGTGACATTTACACATCATATATTTAGAGCTGACAGTCTTTTTTGCTTTATTCTCAATTCCAGTCACCTTTAGCATGATCAGCCTTCTGGCATCACATTCCATCTGTAGTCAAGCATCACATCAGAACTAACTCGATAATGGTGACTGATAGCATCTAGGATCACATTCCACACTTGTGTATTTCACTGAGCTCCATGTGTTCCTTGTCCTTTCTAGCTGCATATTAACCATGTTGCCACTCCAGTAAGCAAGTTAGCATGTGCAGGTCCCATGCTTTTTCTCTCTCTTCAGCACTATTTATGTTGTATCTACGCTTTTGATGTGTTCTCAAATTCACAGTACTTTACTTAACTCCATTACTTTCCCATCTAACCTAAGACCCTGCTTTGTCTCCCTCTCCGGTCTGTCTAGGACATTAACCTCTTATTTCAGCTCTAAGAGGAGCTTCTCCAAATCCACCCTGTAAGGAGTACTGACAACTTGATCCTGTTGCCAAAAAAAGCACCATAGTTACCGTATTTATGGAGAAGAACAATACAGCTGGAAGTTATATTTAACATTTCAAGTCTCTCTCTTCAGTGCCACCTAAGAACTTCTGTTCCAAGTACAGACCCTTAACTGCCAGTGCTACAAAGTCATAGAAGCTGACTAAAACCACAGCAAAACAGCACACTAAACTGCTGGTAGATCCCCCCCTTGCCAACAAAAGCCATAGCTGCCTTTAGATTTACAATATAAATACAAGCATAGAGCATGCACTGTGGGTGCAAAGGTGTTACTTTCCAAAGTTAAACATGTGGGGAATGTTTGGTTGGCTTCTCTGACTAACTTCTACATCATCATTTTTGGCATGCTGACTTTTTCAGCTATAAATGGAGCATCAGAAGGATCAACCCTATCCATAACTGTCTTTCTTTAATAGGTCAGGGTGAAATCAGCCTCTGAAGAAGCTACCGAGCCTGAACTTGGAAATATTTCCCCCCCTCAGGTGGTGGGCACTGCTTATTTCTGGTGACCTTGGTTTCACCAGTAGGTAGATGTTGTGCAGCCACTTTAGAAATTAGCTGTCTCAGTTCTTTTAACAAAAGGTGTTTTAATGTTCATATATTAATACCACATCTGAATTTACTCACAGTAGACCACAACACTACCTGCTTGCTTGCCAAATGGAGCAGAGGTGGGTCCAAGGAACACATGCTGGTAGCCTAAAAAGAGCTGCCTGATGATTCCATACTGGCTGTTCTTTCCCCTTTCCCTATTCCCACTAAATCCTGCTTAAGGCAGCTAAAAATACCTTGCTGTAATAAAGTTTCTTCCATGTAAGCATTTCTGGTAGTTGGCAAAGGTGTAGAGACATACTAGAAAAGAGAGTTATGCAACTGCAGATAGGTGGGAAAACAGCTTTACTTCTGAACAGAGGAAGAAAATGAGGCAAACCAGAGAAAAAGCAAATTTGGAAAGATGGTAGTCCACAACACCTAACAACCAATAAAATAGTCTTAGAATCAACCTTACAGAGCATGTATTCAGATTTTCTTTCTGCTTGAGAAAGCAAACAAGAAACTTGGATTTAACATCTACGTAAAGACTTTATTTTCATACTAAGAGTGTAACCTCCAGTCATAGAGAATATATGGAGCTGCTCTATCAGCTGCAGAATACATGCAGTTGGCTACAGGCTTCACCAATTCTAGGTGCTTCTTCACACCACCAGATCCAGTAGTTGCAGAGGAAATGCCCAAAGCCCTTCTTGCAGGTTCTACCAGGAGATTGATATGTATTACTCTAAAACTAGGTGTGAGAAATCACACCGCAGGTAAGTGTCAGTGTGACTGATCACTGCTGTATTTAATTTCAGAAGTTAGCAGCTGTTCTGGTTACAACTGTTTTTTTCTCTGTTACTCGTTTTTGTTCAGTTGAGAGTATTTGCTGCAATAGCAAATGCCACGTTATTTTAAGCAGGTAACTTCAAACTGACACTGCTTTTAATAGGCTCAGGCAGTTGTGCTCCCCCACAAAGATTCTTCCTACTGCCATGACTCACTCTTTGCAAGACAACAGCCATGTGCCTGGGTTGAAACAAGCCAGCACAGGAAAATGGACTAGCCAAAGAATTCCGCTAAATACAAACCAGGGTTGATACCAGAAGCATGCCCGAGTCCTCCGTATAGCATTATATGAACAGTATAGAGGTGTCTTGGTGTTAGCTGCACTAACACTGCTACTTTGACCCTGTTGACTAATGGCAGTCAGTGACTTTAAACTGTTCATAGGGCCTCTCCCGACAGGCACAGCATGCCTCACGTTCTTCTGAGCCTCTCTGAAGTCATCTACTTTAAGCTCAGCCTGAAAGAAGGGAAACAAGCAAGTCCCTGCCAGTCTCCTCACCTAAATCTCTTTGCTGGAAAGGAACAAGCTTTACAAGTAAAATTAATTTACAGAAGCAGCAGGAATTTAGGAAACGTCATGTTGTTACGACTACTGTAATGCTCCTTGCCAGCATCTCACTTGCTGCTGAAAAATACATTTGTGAGGCTTACGAATGCAGCAGGAGCATCCGGAGCTGTTCTGGTAGCAATGTGCTCCTATCCATGACAGCTATTTGATCATGCTAGCTCCCTGGTATCCTGTTTCTGACCATCTGTCTCATCATTCAGTAGTAGCATTCATCTGTGACCTATTTCCCTTCATTCCTCCATCCTGGTGTTTCTCATGTTTATTCTTTTTAAGGTGCACAAATAGATTTCGTAGAAACTTCATTGTAATGGGATTAAATAATCTCCAGCTTTTTTCCCCTACTAGCTAATGCTTACTCTATAATGAAAGTATGTTCTGTACACCGCACACATCCTGAACACAAGTTTTTTCTTAATCTATGGTCTGGTACTTCATTTCTAAAAATACACACAGGAATGAGGAGAAACTCACAGCCACTTTGTGGTTTCTTGAAAGAAGCCACAGATGTGAATGGAAGGGTCTCTGCAACTGAAGAATTATTTGCTACTCAACATTTCTAGCATAATTTTCACATATTTGCTCTTCCTCCAAAGCAGTATTAATATACGTATGCCTGCCTACCTAATTTTAAAGTGAATTTTAATTTCTTAGATAGACTTTTAGAGGCTAAACAAGAAAACTTTACAGTCAACACCTTTAAGGCACAAAATTCTTTTAACTATCAAAACTTAATCAGTCCTCTAGACAAGGTCATACTTCAGATACTGAGTTTTGATTCTTAAAAATCTTGAGCCATTTTCCATTCAATATCTTCTCAGATTTTTTCCTCAAGTCCTATTAAACAAAAAGTTCTGTACTGTTAAGATGTTTTACCTTTTAAAGTATAAGAAATCCTCTTGTATACAATCATTCTGTGATTCTCTCAGTTCTTTACTGTGAGGGTACTGAGGTGCTGGCACTGGTTGCCCAGAGAAGCTGTGGCTGGCCCATCCCTGGCAGTGTTCAAGGCCAGGTTGGGCGGGGCTTTGAGCAACTTGGACTAGTGGAAGGTGTGAGGGGCACCGTGGCAGGGGGTTGGAACTAGATGATGTTTAAGGTGAAGGGAAAGGATATACTTAGCAGTACCTTCAAGGTGGAGGTATATCTGAGCTGCTATTCAAAGGCATGGTCTGTCCCTTTTTACTCTAGCCATGTAGTCCTGCTGACTCCCCTGTGCCGACTCTGATGTTTGAATAGCCCTACAGCGAGCTGGTACAGGGAACTGATCCATTGAACAGCTGAATTAAGGGGGGGAAAATGAACACTCAACCACCGATCCCAACATAAACAATTAAAGAAGAGGATTTCAAGAGCAAAGTTGACTGGCACATTTAGGAGCAGGAGTACAAAAAGCAACCTAATGCCTTGTTTAGCCTATGATCTCTCTGCAAAAGAAGGCGGTTGGCCCAGGTCACTGAAATACCAATTGCCCTCCTGTTCTCGTCAGTAATTCCCTGTGTCCTTGTACACACAAGGTGTTCTTTCCCAATGAAATGTGGGAGAGTTTGAAAGCCACTCAAGTTACATCATGCAAAGACTCATCATCCCTTTTCATCCCAAGGCAAAGCTACACAAACATGCTGCCATCCCCAGAATAGCAAGGCGGCTTGGCTGGGTTTCTTTTCCTCATCCCGGGTGCTCAGGCCAGCTACAGCCAAGACTGACTCCATTACAACAACCTGATCCTCAGGGAGGCACTCATGTCTGCCAACTGCAACACTTGCAGTGGGCTCATTCTCACTACTGAAGACACCATACATTTAGCTTTTTAATTCACAATAGCTTTCAGATGCAAGTTTAAAAACAAAGTTGAAGCAAGACCTTATGATTAACTGCAGCATTCACCCTCAAGGGAAAGGGTGCTAATCTGGTTGTGTGGACACTGCTAGAAGAGGTGTTCAACTGTGCTCATTCTCCCATTCCCCAAGTCAAGATCAGATGGTTTGTTGATACAGAAGAGATTGTGCCAGCATTTAACTCCAAAAGGCAAGGAGCAGGCGGGGGAGGGGATGACAGAGGCAATTTGGGATCTGGCATCTGTTATTAGGTCACTGGGTTCCCACATACTGCTGCAGCTCAAGCTCACTCCAGTTTCAACATAAGGCTGTTGTTGGCAAGAGCATCCCAGAGATAACGGCTCCGTCTGGAGCAAACTGACACCCCTAGCTCTGCCAAATTAATTTCAAAATACATTCTCCAGCACAACTTCCTGGCCTGACAGTGTGCAAACAGGTTTTTTCTGTGGTTTCACTCGTTCCATATACTAGTGAGTTAGAAACTAGAAGAAACTGTAAGCCTAACCAGGAAGTAGGCTAAAAATCCAGGCCTTAAACTGATCCAGCTATGTCTTCTTTACAGGTATATGGCAGGATAACATCCTGTTAAATGCAGCCGTGATCTGTATGCTGTAAGAATTACAAGTGATACATACTACTGCTTATTTAAATAAGAATATTATATAAGCTATTTAACAAACGAAATTATTTTAGACCCAGATTTAAATCAGTATTATTCAGAGCAGCCCTGTGGAGAAGGACTTGGGGGTGTTGGTCGATGAAAAATTGAACATGAGCTGGCTTCAGTGTGCACTCACAGTCCAGAAACCAACCATGTGCTGGGCTGCATCAAAAGAAGCGTGACCAGCTGCTCAAAGGAGGTGATCCTGCCTCTACTCTGCTCTCATGAGACCTCATCTGGAGGTCAGCTGCAGACGTAAGAAGGACATGGAGCTGTTGGGAGTCCACAGGAGGCCACAAAGATGATCACAGGGCTGGAGCACCTCTACTGTGAAAACAGCCTAGAGAAGGCTCTGCAAGACCTTGTAGCAGTCCTCCAGTAACTACAGGGACCTGTAAGAAATCTGGAGAGGGACTTTCTACAAGGGCATGTAGTGACAGCACAAGGGGGAATGGCTCTAAGCTGAAAGAGGATAGGTTTAGATAATAGGAAATAGTTCTTTACTGTGAGGGTGGTGAAGCACTGGAACAGGTTGACTGGAGAAGCTATGGCTGCCATATCACTGGCAGTGTTCAAGGCCACACTGGATGTGTCTTTGTGCAACCTGGTCTAGTGGAAGGTGTCCCTTTACCCATTCTGTGACTGATTCATGCCACACAGTTCAAGCTTTTCTTATTTTACAGTGCCAGGGTTTATGCCATCTGTGCGAGAGAATTTCTCCTTTGATTCCCCCAAGCTGTACTCTTGTTTTTGAAAAGCATTACCTCTATAGAATGATTTAGGCTGGAAAAGATCAGACTGACACAGTCCAGTCCACCCCTAAACCACGTAACTATGCCACATCTACATCTCTTTAAGTACCTCCAGAGATGGTGACTTGATCATTTCCTTGGGCAGCCTGTTCCAATGCTTGGCCACCCTTTCAGTGAAGAAGTTTTTCCTGATACCCAGTCTAAACCTCCCCTTGCACATCTTGAAGCCTTTTCATCTTCTATCATCTGTTACCTGGGAAAGAAGACCAACACCCACCTCTCTCCATCCTCCTTTCAGGTAGCTGGAGAGAGTGGTAAGGTTTCCCCTGAGCTTCCTTTTCTCCAGATTAAACAACCTCAGTTCCCTCAGCTGCTCCTCGTAAGACTTGTTCTCTATAGAATCACAGCTTCACCTGTCACAGTATACACGTTCAGCAAGTAACATTTAACAGTACATTTTCTCCAGTATGCACACATGGCAGACTCCTCCAATCTCTCCAGAAACCAGCACACTTGTGTCTGGTTATGATTAATACTGCCTGTGAGTAACACCACATGTTAACAATTCCATCCTGCTCATGACTCAGTCCATGGCTGGACTCAGTGCGCAAAGAGCAGATGAAGCCAGCATCAGAGTTCAGGTTTTAAGTGCCTCAGGTTTGGTGTAGAGCCAGAGGCAGCACTCTGCCTTGCCACATGGGCAAGGGGAGAATTAGAGAGCCGTTTTATTTACCTTCCTGTGGTAGCTGTCTGCTTGAAGACATCAGCACCCTTTTTTAAATAACTCTTTTTTATTATTACTTAAATAAAGAGACAACATTCAATGAAAAGGTTGGTATGCAGTAATGCTGTGTTAATAGAAATGTAAAATCATCATGCACAGGAGTCATCAACCTTCTTCAGATATCTGTATGAATGCTTCCCCACAGTTTCTGGACTAACAATCTTATTACAGGACAGAAGAAAGCAGAACTCTAATCTCCACAAAGCCTCTTATTTGTGCTGGACTCTTGTCTCTTGTCTCAGCCAGAGACAAGGTAAGAAAGCCAAGTAAATATTGCAACTTTTGCACTAGGACACTAATGAACTTAGATGCAAAGAGCATACTTACTGCTAGGAAGAGCATGCAGTACATGGAGAACGAAGAATGGCCAGAATAAAATGACAGTCTGGAAAAGAGCAAACATCTCATTATTTTTCTGTTGCAAAATCCAGTCTACAGAGTTACTAATTTGTCTTACACAAGTGAACTGGAAAAATGCAAACATTCCATACTTTTTCTTCAAGAAGGCATTCTAAGCACATCAGACATCTGACAATGGCTTTTGACAAACAGCACAGACTTCACACTCAGCAGCTATCCTGTTCCAGCAATCACTTGATGTCCACATCAGGCTAGTAATTACTAGCACTTTGAATAAAGTTGGAACAGCAAGTGAACACATCCTCAAAGCTAGAAATCAAGTGCCCTTTAAAACAGTATTGTTTCATCTTCTTGATAAATACCAGAATACTGTAAATAAATGATTTTAAAGTTTATAATATCCGATATTCGCAGTGCCACAATGTACACACTGAAAGGTAATCACCCCAAACAAAATCAGTAGCCCTTGGTCAGCATCAAGAGACAGAAGTTAACAGCACATATTTAGATGTATATACCACATATTCACATGTATACCTTTGTTAAAACATACTGATTCATACAGAGCACGATCATCCATCATTGAAGGGTAGGGGGAAAGGCAGGAAGGCAGTTCATTAGTCAGCCAGCTGCAGAAGACAACACCTCCCCTTATCTATTATTTTCAGAAATAGCTTCATGCTTAGCTATCACATTTAAAGAGTGGCAGCACTGCCTTCAGCTCATAAAGGCTTCGAGCAGGTCCAGACTGAAGGGACTCTGCATTTGATGCTGAAGGTTTTCTCCTGCACAGATGGTTTCTGTGACGAGCTGAGTGTCAAAGTTGTAAAACAAATGCCACTCACTTCTTGTCAGGAGTAGAAGGCAACATGGAAAGACATTCTAATTCTGTCTAAAGTGGAAAAACTGTACTTAAAACTATTTTTTAAATAAAAGTGGAAAAACTGTACATAAACTCTATTTTTCTATTTTATGCAGAGCTTGTACCTGTGCTGTTTGACAGGCTATCAGCCAGGCTCCTGTGCAATTCAGCTACATAACAGAGCAGTCCTGGCTTAAGAGTTTGGCATACCCAAACAAGGCCAACTTAATTAAAAGTTTCACAGCAATCTAGATTGCCCTCCACCATATCCAGCAGGGCCCTGTTTTGGTGCCTCAGCCAGGCAGAAAGCCCGAGGCCAGGGAAATTCCTGGTGAAGGAAATGTTTCTACCCTTTGGACAAGACTAATGAAGTCAGCTCTAATATGCAGTTAGATAATTGAGTTAAGCATTCACTACTCAAATACCACAAAGGCAGCAATAAAACTACTTGCGCACAAGTGAAACTCCAAAACTTTCTGCATTAATTTGCATGTGTAACATAACGAAAATGCATCAGCTGTTGGAAGAAAAGAAAGCCACACAGAAGTTTCCTGCATAGGTTTCAGAGTTCTTGGTTTATAGTTGACTCAAAGCATTGCTAATAGTGCAGTGAAAAGTACTCTGGAGTTGTTTCAGAAGTACTAAAACAATCCTGAAAATAGTAAGATGAATTTTGTGTGTCAATATTTGTATATTCATGCACAAACAGATATTTTTCAATTAAGTTTTTAAATAGAAAACCTGTATTGACAATGTGTTATCTTAAGATGTTGAAAATTTCAAAGCCATGAACATTACATTTTAGCTAGACACCTCTACTTTACTGCTCTAACTCTTCACCAGTTGAAATCTCTGGGCAACTGTCCACTATGAAAGCCAACAGAGTAAGCATTTTGAAGAGCTCTGCCTTTCAGATAAACATGTCTTCTGAGCCATGGAAGCAAAGCATGCTGTTCTACAGAACAGAAGACAGATGAAGGAATTCTGGCTCCTATGCCAATATTTTACCCACTGACTTTGGGGCTATTCCTGTTGTCTATGAGATGGCATTTCCTGCAGTTCTTGAAGGCAACCTATTACCAACTGAAGGAATTCAGAAGGCTGATAAGAAAAGGAATAAAACCAAATACTTTAAGGAGGGGGGTTGGGTTTTTTTAGTTCTTATGCAGTTTAATGGTGTTTTAGACTACTGACATTCTTGGTTTTAGGAATGTATTAGCCCAGCATAAAAAAATGCTTTGTTGGAAGTTGAAGATTACAAAATATGAAGGCATTCTCATCAGGCATAGATAAGATTGCTGTACATGACTGAAAATGTTGTGCTTAGAACATGAAGTATTGCCAGAAATACAACTGGGACAAAGTATTGATCCAACTTGTATATTGTGCAATCCCAATGACATTTCTTTGGCAATACTGTCATCTCTAGATTTCTTTAAGGAACAGACATGTCTTTAACAAATTAAAGAAATCTTGGAACCCTTTCAAACACTAGGTTTGATAATGGAAGAGCTTCCCAGTGACCCTCAGCACGCAAACAGTGTCATCCCAAAACCAGGAGAACATTCTGTCTTCAAACCAGCCAAGCTGCTGCACAGCCCAGGCTTTGAGATCATACAGCAGGTGCTATCTTGCCATTAGCCAGCATTATTTACTAGTCCTAAGAATGCATAAGTATCAAAAGAAAATAAATTTATAAATAATGTGGTACAGACAACTCTCAAACCCCCTGCCTTTCACTAATGAAGGCTAAATTATTCCAGCAGGAATTTGCACACCAGATTTCAAGAGTTCTTTTACCAATTAATATTAGAACAACATCCAGTGAACATGAAGTAAGAGCTGGTTAAGTGTAAAGTCTTGTTTTGATTGTTTCCAAGATGGCAGAGACTGGCATCAAAACAACAGCTCTGCAGACAGAGATCCATGCCTTTTACTTAGTCAGTACCTACCTCACAGATCCCTTCTGATGTGAGGAACAAGGCTTTAACAGGAAAGTGCTTATTTCCACTTGGGCAATATATTACTAGCACATTAGAAGAATGCCTTAAGTAACAACCCAAAACCAGTTTCAGATCTTGGTTGAGGCCTAAAGTTTCCAATGTCTGCAGTACAGCGGGACATCTCAGAAAGGGCTGCATCAAAAGGAGCGTGACCAGCAGGTCGAAGGAGGTGATCCTGCCCCTCTACTCTGCTCTTGTGAGACCTCACCTGGAGTATTGTGTGCAGTTCTGGTGTCCTCAACATAAAAACGACAAGGAACTGTTGGAACAAGTCCAGAGAAGGGCCACGAGGATGATCAGGGGACTGGAGCACCTCCCATATGAAGACAGGCTGAGAAAGTTGGGGCTGTTCAGCCTGGAGAAGAGAAGGCTGCGTGGAGACCTCATAGCAGCCTTCCAGTATCTGAAGGGGGCCTATAGGGATGCTGGGGAGGGACTCTTCATTAGGGACTGTAGTGATAGGACAAGGGGTAATGGGTTAAAACTTAAACAGGGGAAGTTTAGATTGGATATAAGGAGGAAATTCTTTCCTGTGAGGGTGGTGAGGCACTGGAATGGGTTGCCCAGGGAGGTTGTGAATGCTCCATCCCTGGCTGTGTTCAAGACCTGGTTGGACGAGGCCTTGGGCGATATCATTTAGTGTCCTTGCCCATGGCAGGGGGGTTGGAACTTGATGATCTTAAGGTCCTTTCCAACCCTAACTATTCTATGATTCTATGAAAACAACATAAGTTAATGGCTGTTCAGCTTTCTTTAAACTTAGTTTTGCCACAACTTTCACATGGCTTATAGAATCATAGAATCACAGAATAGTTAGGGTCGGAAAGGACCTTAAGATCATCTAGTTCCAACCCCCCTGCCATGGGCAGGGACACCTCACACTAAATTGTATCACCCAAGGCCTTGTCCAACCTGTTCTTAAACACTGCCAGGGATGGAGCATTCACAACCTCCCTGAGCAACCCATTCCAGTGCCTCACCACCCTAACAGGAAAGAATTTCCTCCTTATATCCAATCTAAACTTCCCCTGCTCTTTCCCTTCTTTATCAGGCCAGCTCCACCAGCCCCTACTAGACCTGGCCTACAAACTTGGGTCCCATGTTCAAGGAACCTAAACCCCTGACTATGACACCACCCTTTTAACCATTTATTAACCTGGCATAAAGACAAAAGTAAAGACTCGTGATTTATTTAAAAGGTTGCCTTAAGACTGGTTACAATTAATCGCTACAGTTCTTAAAGATTACCTGGGAAAATAAAGTATAAACAATTCCTAAAAGATGTACTTGAACTGAACCGCTTAGTACCTTCAGCCAGGATTTCTAATCCCAGATTAGCATGTCTGAAACAGATGGCCTTGCGGGACTAGAAACTGACAACCGTGTCATTCTGTTCTGTTCCTTTCCATGCACAAAGGCAACTTAGCCTAATGTGCTGAGCCCACTTGGTAGAAGGTACTGTTTAAGCATTTATGCAAAGTACAGGAAAAAGAAAGTACATGAAAAAGGAAGTACAGAAAGTACATGTTTAAGCAGTTAAGCAAAGTACAGGAGTCCAACAGGGAAATTAAAAGCCTTAGTGAAAAAAAATACTGGAAAATAGCTAAATACATATGGTACACTGGGGCATTAAATGGCGACAAATTAAAGTGTTAGAAATTACAGTAGAAATGGATAAACCAGAAGAAAGCTTATCTTGTGGTGCCACAATAAACCTAGCAGAGGCTGAATGATAAGGGAATCTTTCCAATATAGGTACTGAATTACGGAATGATCCCTTAGGAAAAAACAGGAGGCCCAGCAAAACATTACGCACGCTCTCACATCAATGCAAATAAAACCGCTACTGGGTCAGCCACCAAGTCCCTTCTATCCTCAAGTTCTCTGGATTCTCCAAGTCCAACTCAAAGCTTCCGCTGACATTCATGTTACCCATTTCATTGAGCCGGACTGGAATAAGTGCCAGACAGAGATGTAGCTCTGCACATCTGTGCTGAGTAAGCCAGACAGCTCCACATGCTTGTCAGTGAAATATTCCTAGAATCTAAATGCCATGAGGATGTGGTTTAATGAAGTGCTAGTCCTATGCTTCAGCTGAAGCACCATATTCTTTAAAGTCAGTTTTGTCTGCACTCAGCAATCAACATGTTTTCACAGCAC